TACGCGTGCTCGTAAGACCTTGACTACTGCGCATATGCGTGTGCGCAAGTGCAGAATACGTTTTCGCCTGCGCGTTTAATGTATAAAGGAAGGTGTAAGCTAAAATTATCTAATTATCTATTTCAGTTAATGTTAATGATTGCGTTGTTCCTTAATCTTCGAATTGGATCCCGCTGATTATTTTTTGCAGACTGTAAGAGCAATTTTATAAAAGTAAACTTGAACTTTCGATTATGTCAAATAGAATTTCCGATGCTGGAACTTCCAAAGGATCTACAAAACGAAAGTATATTTCGATGTCCAACAAACAAAAAGTGGAATTGCTGCAAAAAATGGATAAAGACATGAAGAATGTGACAGAGAGGTTAGTGAAAACGAAAAAATTTTCGATTGACAAGTTAGTCGGTTATTCTCGGCACAGCAATTAACAGGACTTGAACAGTGTCCTGTAATTGCTGTGTCGAGAACAGGAACTTTGTAACTGAACAAGAAATTATGTCTGTTTGTAGAATTGAAAGAGAAAGTATTATCACAGAAAGCGAAGCAACTTAAACAACTTACATTGAAAGAAATGTTTAATAAAGTAAACAAATAAATATTAAGCTTTTTTTTTTTTTTTTGTAAATTTTGATACCCTTTAAATCATAATTGTTCTTTATTTCATTAATTACGGTTTCATATTTTTAATTTTAGAATTTCTGCATGCCATCTTACGAGATTTAAACTGATGATCTATAATCCGGAAAAATCGATAATCCGGAATCGCCGAAGTCCCGACGAGTCCGGATTAACGACTTTTGACTGTAATTAGTTTTGGAAATCACACTAGTTACTTTACCTGGCTCTATCCAGTTTACAGGCATTTTGTGTGGTTTAGACGTGGCTAAAACAAGCACGAGATCTCCGACCTTAAACCTCGTAACAGCATTGCGATCATACCAGAGTTTCCTTTTACTCTGACACTCTTTCATCCTCTCTACAGCCGGCTCCTGATACTCTTTCATCCTCTCTACAGCCACTTCTTTAATCTGTTTATTAAGTATAGAACATACTCGACCAGAGTGGGGTCTGAACTTTCTTCCTCTAGCCAGTTTTCATACACGATCGTTTGAGGCATTCTCAAATTTTTTCCATGTACTAACTCACAGGGCGAACAAAGCACATGGCAAACATTCTTCCCAGTCCTTGCCGCTTTCCAAGCACTATTACACAGATCTATTCCAGCTCCAGTATCTCTCAGATATTCTCTCTCTATACCATTAATTACTGCTTTCTTGAAATACAGCTCAAAACATTTTCCTAAACTCTCCGTTCCTAGATTATTCAACAGATTAGCCTTATTCTTTTCCAGTTAGGTGGGATATGTCCGTCCTTTCAACATTGGTAATACCTTATTTTCCGCTTTTTCTCGAAACCTGCTGCATTGAAAACTTGCTTTTTTTTAGGAGCCTCCACTTTTCTATGCTGCTCTGATTTAATTCTTTGATGACCACTACTTTTCTGATTATGACTACCATTGGAATTTACATACCACTCTCTATCTTTTTGAAATGGTTTCTTTAACCCCGCTCTCTGTTCTAACTTCCTCATATCTCTTCGCAAAGCCTCATACTTGTTGCATTTCTCTGCTAAAATAGAAGCTGTTTTAAATTCTTCCCAATTGTCTAAGTAGTGCTCTCTTGTTTCTAGAGAGACTCATCCTTTAATTTGCTCGGTGAGCATAAGTTTCTTAAGACTTTCAAAATCTTGAACTTCCACTGAATCCAACCAATTCTCTAAATACACTCTCAATTCATACACTAAATCTACCCATAGCATTCCGTTTTTCATAGAATGTTCTTCAAATTTTGTTTTTAGTGCTCAAGAACTAAGCTTGAGTTTATGCATGAGTTATTTCTTAACATGCTGATAATCACCCCCTTTATCCGCTGGTTCTTTCTCTATTAACTGGGCTACATCGTAATGTAATAAAGGAATTAATTGTGAGACCCAATTAATCTCCTGAATGTTCTCTTTTTGAGCTTGTTTCTCAAATAGCATAAAGAATAATGAAATATCTATGTTACTCGGTTCAAAATGCGGTACTAGATCTTTCAAATTGACCTTTTTTATCTAGATTGTTCAACTGTCAAAACCGTGGAAGCTAGGTTATAAGTCTCAACCACATTCATCAGTTTTAACTTTTCCAATTCAAAAACTCGCTCCAGTTCCCGTTCCGCTTTCTCTTGTTCACGTTCCCGCTCTGCTCTCTCTTGTTCATGTTCCCGTTCTGCTTTCTCTAGTTCCTGTTCCTGTTCTGCTCTCTCTTGTTCGGCTATTTCTTCTGCTTTTTTTCTGTTCAGCCACTGCCAAAATTCTTGCCGCGTATTCTTTCATCACTTCTTCTTCATAGTCCTCGGCATTTAGAATAGCCTGCCTAATTTCTCTTACTCTATTTGCCTGAGACACATTTGTATCAAAATCCTCCACTAACTCCAACAACAGAGTTTTAGAAAATTTCCTCATAAACTCACCCATTATGGAAAATTAAAGAAAAATAACCTACCCCAAAATACAATAACACACACACAAAACAACAACAACAGGTCTATCTCTCCAAAACTGAATAATACCCTAACAGTTCTGAACACTAATTGCCTTACAACACTAAATGATAATACCTATGCCTACATGCAAAACATATATCAAAAATGCTAATTAAGAGGCAACCTTTTCCTGCTCTATCTCAACTATATAAATATTGTCCTCTTAACTCTGGACTAATTTAAAAACTAAATTTTTCTAAAGCATATTATTACAATACTTCATACAATTTAAACAGTTACTAAAACAATAGAACAAACAATTAAATTCCAACTAGCAACAATAATCACAAGACTAACTTTCAATAACCACCAGAAACTTTTGATCCCCAATAACAGAATCCAAAATATCCAAAATAAATCTAGTGTCAAATAACTGGCATAACTTCTCCAAAATCACAAAAATGGCACTCGTCAATTTGAAGATGCCTTCAATGACTGTCCTGTCACTAACTTGGATACTCTCACTCTTATGGGAAATTTCACTATTTTGCGGCACTAGATCACACTCCCGCATTTCCTTCTGACACACTGTCACTTTCTGAAGAGGATTTACCACGCGAACTGTCCTTGCACGCAAAATTAGATCGTTCTTGTGCAGAGAAGAAAGTCTTAACTGCTCACATAAAATCCTTTACAATACTGCCTTTTCTGGAACTTCCATCTGGTACACTCACATGACGAGATGTACTCAAAACAATGCATGATGTTAACTCAAGTTCACAGGCAAAAAGTTCATTCTTAAATTTTATAATGTAACATGTCACTTGTATAATGTATTATGAAAGGCCTCATGAGTGTGGAGCTTTGCTGAAAAAAATCAGGTTACAAGGGGCAAGCCCACTTACATTGACGTAAATGGTTATCTCACCAATTTGGTTACTCACCAAAAACCATCGCGAGCACATGAAACTATATCACAAACAAATATATATATTACAAATTAATTTAATACAGGATAATTACAATGAAATTAATTTGTAATATATATATATTTGTTTGTGATATAGTTTCATGCCAAAATAATGCATATTGTTACTTATTTTGATTCACTTTTAAATGTCACGTGCCAACGCGTAATGTGGCATTGCAGAAGTAATTTTACCTCTAGTGCTGATCACACGCTGGCGCGTAGTAATGAAATTCTATGTTTAAAGGCTTAGTAATCAATGTGGTACAAATAATAACCTTTTATTAACTCTTTTAAATCATATTTTTTATAATAAGTTAGTATATGGGTTCAACCTGTTGCTGTGATACATCAATATCTATCAATACAACCTCGCGTGATCGGTAGCAAGTGTTAATGTAACTTTGCTTTAATTTTACATTTTTAAGTTGTTTTATGAGTAGTAAAAAAAGTTTTTTTACCCTTTTTAGAGACTCATTCAATTTTCAAATCTTCAGAATTTATTGGTTTCGCATGTTCTCTCTCATCATAAATTTTTCAATAGTTTTTGAATCTCCGATTGAAATTCTTTAATTATAAAATTTGAAATTTGTGTTAAGTTCAGATCTTTAAGAGCAATATTTCAGGCAGCTAACACAACAGTTTCTAACTGATATCTTCGGTCTTAAAAAAGTATATCCTGCTTTGCGAAAACATCATTTAATCATCCATTCATTTATAAAATCTTAACTTTTGTGGAAAAGAATCACAATTTCTTATTACATATCCACTAGAACAGTGGTTTGAAACTTTTCTGCTTCATGCACCCTTTCTTGAACACTGATAATTTGGTCAGAATTCAAAATCCCAGCAAACAGGCTGGCTTATAAGGCATTTTCTTGGATTTCCCTACGTGTAGCATGTATATAAGCCAATTTCTCTCTGAAAATCCTTTAAGGAGGCATCCCATCCCTTAGACAGATAGCTCTTGATTGCTGTGTCATAATCAATTAAATCCAAATAAATCCCCCTGTTCTTTTGAAAATTTGAGAAATACTTGCATACATTTATTTAGATTCAGAATATTTACTAATGTGTTTCATAAATTAAACGTCAAGAGGTATAGAAAATGTTTGTAAGTACCAAAACTTGAATAAAAGTAGTTTTTTATATTCATAAACTAAAACTAAATACTTACAGCCAATTAAAAATCTGAGTGCACCCCCCCCAAAACTGTGAAATTTGCCTCTGTTGAGAATCCTTGTTTTAGAAGGTATTGCTTTTGAATTGTAATGCTATATTAAAATAATAATAATAATAATAAAAAACTGTCATTAAATCGGGATGATTTGGCTCTGTTTTTATGTGTTTTCTATCGGATCAATGAAAGTGAGCATAAAATCAAGTCTTGTTATTAATTAAATCTGGACTATATGTATAGATAGATGTATATCATAAATAAGTCTAAATTTTTCTTACTTTAACTCTCATCATTTAATGCTCATACATATTTGGTTTTTAAATTTTAGTTTTACTCCAGAAATGTCAAGCTGAACGAGAATTTTTAATATGGAGATCAACTTCCAAGAGGCGTTCTCATTCTTTATCTCCCTGTAGACGTAGTCGATTACACAAACAACAAAAATCTAAAGGTTTGTATGTCTTTACATTTTCCTTTGGTTTTATAGTCTTTTTGTATTCTTATTGAAAAATATGCACAAATATAAAATAATGAACATTTATTTATAAAAGATTTAACTGTTTTTTAGAATTCATAGAAATTTACTAAAATTTGTTTAAAAAATTATATATTTGTTACATAATATCGTAGCTATTTGAGCATTAAAATATATGTAGAGAGAGGATCTACAAAAATTCAGTCATGTTACACATCTTCAGGTGTGTTCTCCATGGGGAAATTTAATGCAGAAAAAAAAAAAAAAAAAAAAAAAAAATTTGACGAAAATATGAATGTGGTAGGAAGTCACTTAAAAAATTGGATTTTTGAGAAAAATGGTTGCTCAATACCGTAAAAGTAGCAGCTCTACATAATAGTTCTCTTTCTTTTGTATAACTGTCAAAAATATGATATTACCTTGGTGGATATTTATTAACCCTCTGAGTGGCTCGGTTTTTGGATATCATGACTACCTGTATTTAAGGAGGCCATATTAGCTAAATTTGTATATTTACTTACTTTAGTCTCTATTTTCATAAACTTAGATTTATTAAGATGACATTTTAAACTTAGATTTATTAAGATGACATTTATATTATTAAAGAAAATAAGAAAGCAAAATATCATGAATTAGTAGCTAATATATAGTGACAAAAATGTCATAACCAGATAAAACCGGTCATGGTGCTCAGAGGGTTAATGCAGTAAATAACTGCCTTAAGCCATTATTTATTAAACTGATCCTAAAGACAAGTCTATTAGTTTTTAATAAGGAGTATAATATATTGTAATCATAACTGGAGAAATATATTGGAAGAACTGTCAAATCTCTTTTCATTTCTTTTGAATGGGATAATTATGTCTCAGAAGCTGGAAATGATTAAACCCATTTTATGCATATTGTTATTAAAGTGCAAGAAACAACTAAACCTTGTTTTGTGTAGATTGATGTTAAAGCACAGAAGACAACAGAATTTTTATGAATTATTGGTGGATTGTTATCAATGTCTCTTGGTAAAAAACTAATTTTTTAAAAATAACGACTTTTTTTACTGTAAATTCCTATATATGGACCATGATAGAAAATAATGTGATGATGAGAATCACATGCAGATAGTTTGACGAATTATTTCCCGTGAGAACAAGCTTATTGATGATGATTCTAGTAATGATGAAATTTGACACCATCCTAGAACTTTTTACCTGCCATGAATTTCAAGCAATTCTGATTCAAACTTGAATTTGGGTTATTCTGAATAAGAGTGGTTGTCATTAGACAATTCATTTGTCTTGTAGGAGTTTTTAAGCCACTTGGGAATAAATGCAGAAAGCGTTTCAGGTAGTGTAGCTTATATTGTGTATACACTACATTAAAATATCAAATTTATCAACAAAAATACCATGAAAAAGGCAAACATGAGGCTGTAAAACTACTTCAATGTATTGCTAGTCGGTCACTGTCCCATTTGTAAGCAAATATAGGGGCGTGCGGTCATTGATCATTATGCTGGCCTATACAACATCTTGATCAGTCCCTTTTGTGGGTATTTTCTGGATCATAAGGAGTACTCTCTCATGTCAGATGAGTTGGAATCTACAAGCCAATGACAGGCTGAAGCTACTGTCACCTGAGAATGTTATGCAAGCTCAGTCTGGTTCAGTCCACACAAGAGTTGTCTTCAGTTTATTGGCTGCCAGATGTCTCTAGTAGTGAAAACCAGCTTTAGTCAACATTGCATATTTTGCGAGTACAGAATTGGTTGAAAACATGGGTAAAAATGATTGCTGCATCGTCAACCAGGCTTGTGAAATTGGGTGTAGAAGTTGATCTTGGCTCTATGTGTTTTTGCTGCTAATTGTTTCATATTTAAACGAAGAATATAATGACAGATCTCTAAATTGGCATCAAATTGATTGAAAACATGACAATGCATCTGCTCTTCCAAAAATGTCTTTATTGCATACTTTAGATTGTCAAAATTTATTGTCGTAATATACTGGTTATCATAAATTAAGGACAAATCATGAAAATCACGATTACTGAAAAAGTTACATGTAGAATTTTATGAAACTTACCCGCAATATACAACACATAGTAAGGTATCAAATAACGTGAAAAGAAATTACCAGACAATTATGGTAGTATAGAAATTAGCACATGTATAACATGAACAAATCGAAGATGTCAGTTTGCTATAATAAAAGTACCTTCAATATGGAATATAATCACCTCTAAAAGCAATACAGCACATTCAGCGATGTGTGATGCTTTCGATTATGCAGTCTGTCAGTTCCTTATCAAGCGAGAGCCATCATTCTTGCAAAGCAGTTGCAAGCGCAGCAAGGGTCTGAGGGGGCGGATTGAAAGCAGCTAGACATCTCCCTAAAGCATCCCAAACATGCTCGATAGAATTCAAGTCCGGGGATGGAGCTGGCCACTCCATGTGCTTAATTGTTTCCTGTTGAAGATAATCGTGTACGATGCGAGCCCTGTGTGGTCTTGCATTGTCATCCTGTAACAGAAAAACATCACCTATTGCCCCAGCATATGGGTGCACATAAGCATCAAGGATGTTATCTCTATAAACATGAGCATTCACGGTTCCCCTTGGAAAAACATGGAGGTCTGTGCGTTCACCCAAAGAGATGCCACCCCAAACACAGACACTGCCTGTTCCGTATGCATCTCTTTCACGGATGTTTGATGGATGATAACGGGTTCCAAGTTCTCTTCATATCAAATAACGCCTATTATCGCTTTCTAGACTAAACCTGAACTCAACGTAAAGAGAATAGCCCTCTATTGCTCAGATGTCCAGTGGACATGTTGTAGTGCCCACTGCAATCGGTCCCTCCTATGGCGTGACTTGAGCGGCACGCAAATGGTTGTTCGCTTCGCATACAGACCACCTTTGTGAAGCCTATGCACAGTTGACGCTGAAACTAACCTCCTGGTGGCTGCAGCAAAGGAGGATCTAAGAAGAGTCAGAGTAGCGGTTCTATTCCTGAGTGCACATAATGTCAAATATCGGTCATCGGCGCTCGTCGTAGCAGTTGCCTGTCCTTGGCTGAACCTCCTAGGTGCCGAATCGGCGATTTGAAATTGCCTCCAAAGTCTATGAACCACAGAAGGACTCTCATTTAGCCATCTGGTCACTTCTGTTTGACTTTGACGTGCCTCTAGTCACCCAGTGGCTCTATATCGTAGTTCTGCAGGCATATATCGTAGTTCTGCAGGCATATATACGATATAGTGGCTCTATATCGTAGTTCTGCAGATGATGCCTGGAGGTCATTGTTACGAATTGGCTATCTCATATTTCTGATGTCACTATCACAGTGAAATATGTGAGCTTGCTCTCAAACACGGACTTTTATGCTCCTCACAGATGACGTATTCCGAGTGCAGTGCCACTAATTTGCATATTGGAGTTTTACTCAGCTACTCTTACTTGGCAACATATTCAAATTTTACATGGTTTGGCTTATTTTTTAGGGAGTTATCGCTCTTTTTGTGATTTTTCCTTAATTTATAATAACCAGTGTAATATGTGCTGAGCTGAGAGACTATTTGGAGTTACAATCAGAAAATAGGAATGTACTGAAAAAAAAGACAGACTCTTTACATTTTTTCTAAAATATATATTTTCCTTTACAATGAAGGAGAATATATTTTTCCAGTTTTCTGTAAAATATTTTTCTAACACATATTTTTCATTAATTAATAATATACAGACATCCAAGAAGAATCTAACTAGTTTATGTTCACCAAACATTGATTTTAAAATATATGAGTTGAATACCTTATGAACAATATTGTGAACCCAATTAGTAATACCTTTAAATATTAAGCGAATATATATATATATTGTTACAAAATGTCCAGCTGTGGTAAGATAGCTTCCACGTAAAGTGGGTGATATATATTAAGAGAATGATAAAGCTATAAAATATAAAAATTTTTTTAACAATTTGTACCTTTTTTAAAAGTATAATTTTAATTATTTTTATTTGTATGATTTTAATTATTTATTATGATTTAAAACTAATTATTGAGAGTTAATATATTTTATTTTAAATCGAATGTTGATGTCACAAGATTAAATTAAAAAGCTCTTTATAATTTTTGCGGAAGGTTTTGCTGTTTGTAATTTTTGCAGGGGGTAAGATATTGAATCTCTTTAAAAGACACAGTGACCATGTAAGACTTTCACTGCGTAAATCTCAGTTATTTTAGAAAGTGGCGAGTCTTAAGAACTAGATAGCGAATAATCGCTAAGTTCGGGTGACAAGAAACAACAAGATAGAAGGGTAACCAACCCTTTATTATTCCAATAAGATTTAACAAAACTCTGCCTGGGAGTGTACAAACAAAGCCGACACTTGGGCTTGAACTTAAGAGACTAAGAATTAAACTAAAACTAAGATTAACTAAAAAAAAAGAAATATAGCCGAAGCTATCAAGGTTCAAATCGAGTTGGCCCCTTAACTTATTTGACTACGAAGCTTAGCAAGGGCCTGAGTACGGCCGAGCGTAATAACAGCTTTGAGAGAGAGAGTGGCCAAAAAGGCAGACGCGCGTAAATCAGAAACTCTGATTCTCTCTCTCTCTGTAAGTAACTTCGTGGTTTAAATACCGCTCCTCCTCATTAAATATTCAGCAAGATTCCAAAACTACGTTCTGGCCGGAAGTAGTTAAGTTGAAGTTAAGAATTTGACAGGAAAGGAACTTTAACTTAAAATTTAACTGTTAATAAAATTAACATAATCCTTACATAGCTTCCGACCAGACTTTAAATACTCGAAAAATAAGGTCTCAAAACGACCTTGTTTAAGACTTTAAAGTCTGAAAAACTTACGTTAACTACACTCCTTCAAACTTTTGAATTAACTAAATGACTTTAAAGTTCCGTTTTTAGGGCCAACTTTACAACAATTCTAAAAGCTAGACTAAAGCTAGGAAAAATAAAATTT